GCCGGGACCATATACTTTTCATGGTAACATGGCATTACCGTTACATCGTAGAGAAGATCTATTAGCTCCGGGGATGCGAATGCAACTTGAGGTTACTTCTTATTCATGCTTAATTACGTACTCTTTGATTTGTTTGTTATTTATAATATTGCACAATATATAGTCTCTAATGATTTCTGAAAACTAATAACAAATTCCACGACTTACAAAGCTTGACCAAGACAAAGATCTTTTCATTGGTTGTTTATGTATATAATGCCCTATAAATGATGACTAAATAAAAAATTGTTTCATGATTTTCTTCTCAATGAGCAACCGATGTCCTTTTCCATTTTGGCCTTCCTGCACATACCGTAACTCTTGGAGCCGGTAAGCTTTGGCGACGTCTATACTCCTAAAATTTCGATTTTCTGCGCGCCAAAAAGTGAAATGACCCCTGAAACTACTTGATAAGCCGGCAGACAGCAGATATCTTCTTTTGGAGGTTCGACACTACGATCTTCGACTTCTGACATTTGTTATGGTGATCACTGAACATTTGATTTGTGTTTTGGCACTGACCTGGTTCGAATTCTCGCAAAATCGGCGGCGGTTCGAAATTTATTCGAGCAAGTATTGACGCTCGTTGTTCTCGTCTATTTTCTGGTGATACTGAACGTTCTGTGGGCTGCTGAGCACTAGCATCTCTGAAACAAAATTAGCGAATTTTTATAGGAAGCTTCGCAAACGTTACCTCAAATATTTGACAAATTTCATCCTCGAGGCGCGGGTTTTCTCACGAAAAAGTCGTCGAGGAAAGCAAAGGTTTGCAGAACAAAGTGACAAGCCGAGGAAGAACAATGAAATAGATAAGATTCAATTTTGATTTTTAGCAAAGCTCCTCTACCAAAAAAACATCTTGAGAAATTGCAGTTTTTTGGTCAAAGACTTTTGAGACTAACAGTTACATAAACAACGTAACTTCATCTTGATAAAGAAAAGAACATTAATGTTGTTTTAGATTAAAGTTATGCAGTTCTACATTTCACTATACCTGAATGGGTGGTACCTTCTCATAACCTTTTTAGCTCAATGGTCTTTATTATGTAAATCTTAGAAAATTACGTACGTATAAAAGATCCATTGAGCACAAAGAATCCGACTAGCATCAGTTGGCTTGATGTCAGAATATTGTGATATCGAAAAGAGGCGCCATCTGGTTTGAACTGAAATTGACCACATTTCTTATAATTGTACATTTCTGCAAAATTACCTTGCTGACTGGATAGTGGCATTCTGCCTCGTCAATACCACAACTATCGACTGAATCGCATAGTAAAGATCTCTGCAGGCAAGCGAAAGAGCAATCTAGATAGGAAGTCTGCGTTGAACCCTCAAATACAGTACCAATAGAAATCTTATTACTGTATCCCTCCGCAAAATCGCAACGCCTTCCA